TATTTCCAAGTCATGGGCAAAGAGCGGGTGACCTCTGAGTCAGGAAGGAGCCAGCACGTCCCTGTGCAGAGAAGCCTCATCCGGACGAGCCACGCCAGCAGCCAGGTCACTGATGGCAGGACTGAGCCGCCCTGCACCCTGCTGCCCCGAGCGCCTGCCCCCACCCCCGCCCTTCCCACCACTGGTGAGGAGCAGGCCTTTGCAGGACTGACAGCCAGCAGCTGGGCGGGTGCCAGAGGACCGTGCCGCCGTGGTCCACTGTGCCCTTCCTAATCAACTTCCTAATTAAAAAAGGCCGTGCTGGCACGAGGTCTGAAAGGAGTCGACTTGGAATATTTCACCAAAGAGCATCCCCTAATCCGGGGCTTGTTCAAAGTCTGTGTTGTTACAGATGTTTATGAGTTTTCCTGGTGCCGTGATAGAATCAATTTGCTCGCGCCTGGCCCTCAAGACGTATTAAATTTATCCTGAAGGAAGCGGCTTTCTGAAAGCTCTCGTGCAGATGCATCGGGGCAGGTGGGGCTCTCGACGAACGCGGAGTCCGCTAGCAGCTGCAGCCTTGCCTCCGAGTGCTCCCCGCACCAGACAGCTCCAGAGCAGACGGGTCTGATGGCTCTCGGCGGGTGTCCTGCACACTCCATTATTTCCATGACCAGTCTGGTCAGCGTTGTTCCAGGGTGCCAACACTCTGTGCTCTCAGCTTCTGCTCAGATGGCACAGGCTGGTGGAATACACGTACCAGGGAGGGGGAGACGGGGCCCAATAGAAACAGAGCCAGGAGAACCACCCCCAGCTGCCCTTGCTGAGGAGGCAGCCGGGAGTTGATAGGGAAAGCTGACTTTCCACTGGGCGTCAATCAAATACCCCAGAGCCCTGGGCCGAGGGAACACTGTGAGCATACCACTACCAAAACCATCTTCCAGCTAGAAATCTGGCAAAGAAATTTTCATCAATGGACTAAAAAAAAAAAAAAAAAAGCCACCCGCCCCCCCCCATGATGAATCCCTCCCAGAGTTGTCAGTTGGAGACTTACGCCTGCCATCCTACACCCAGAAGTGTCTCAAGCAAGTGGACAGAGCCCTGGAGGTCATCTCTCCTAAAGCCAGTGCATCACTCACAAAGCAGGCAGCATGTCATCTCAAGTCGTGCAGCTCCCAGGACTCTGTTAATGAGTGCACACATAGACCCAAAGCAGGTGCATGGCACCACCCTAACAGAGGGCTCCAACCTTGCAGCTCACACAGAGCAGTTCCACGCTGGCATTTAAAAACACAGCCACATACACACAAAGCCCCTGAAGACACTGCTTCTAGGATTCCTAAGAGGACAAAAACGCATCAGCACGCAGAACATTCCGGGGTGTAAGGTACCACCTTTTACAAGGCAGACGTGGTTTCCCTTTGCAACCAGTGGGCGCACTGCCAGCGTGATGCCCTGCGGCACCTGGGCGGGATGGGGCAGACCTGCTGGGAGCACACTGCCTGCACAGCCAGGGCCTGACACTCGGGCTCCCACGTGGGAATACCACCAGCTGTGAAAGGCTGTGTGCCATCTCAAAGTCGACCTTCACCCTGAGAGCAAACTAAGAACAGCAAGAGCCCTCAGAAACCCCATCTGTAGGGTACCTGTCATCCTCTCTCTCAATACAAGCCCCTCCCCAACTCCACAGTGCCTGGGCACCGGGGGACAGGGAGTGGCACACAGTAACTGTCTCTGGAAACCAGGAACACATAATTCCAGCGTCAGAGAAACACGGCTGCCCACCAGCGGTCAGGGCAGCCGGGCACCCCAGAAGCAGCGTGAGTGAGGAGCATGGCTCTACATGGACAAGGCAAGGGGAAAGGTGAAGGCTGACATTTTGCCCAAGAAAGTTAAAACCCTCATAAAACATAATGGAGTTCTCTCAGCCACACAAAGCTTGACTTGCCATGAAACACGGCCATGGAAATAAAGCTTTACTTTCCTCTAGGTGAGAGTTTGTGGGTGTGTTTGAGAATAATTTGGTATTTATTACTTTGGATTAATTAAAACTCATTTCCCCTTCATTCAAGTTTACCAGCAAGTTTTTAAAATGAAATAAAAAAGACATTTGTGTGTATGTATTAGCACTGACATAAAAATAGAGAATTTACCTGTGATACAAAAAATAGAACTCAATATGAGCACAGAGAAACTTGTGTTATGGGAGGAAACTGGCCAGCGGATTTCACATCTCCATACAAAGGGTTAATGTTTTCCAACATTTTGTTTGGCTCATTGAAAGTAGTGTTTTATTCTTTTTTTTTTAATGTAGTTTTTTAAATGGAAGAAACTGCCTTCTCTCACAAAAAAAAAGTTGCATTTCCTGTCAAATAATCATTGCCTAAAGCAAACAGCTAAAGTATAACAACTCCTTTGAAAATCTTAAAAATGAATGCAAAATAGTTGATTCGGGGATGGGGAATAGTCCAGGAGCTGTGAGAAGGCAGTGCAAGGCCCTTGCTTTCCCCTGGAGTTCTTCCCTCCGAGCAGAGGAAGTTGGTGCGGTCAGTCACCAGGAAAACCGGTCCGTCTAGCAGAATGGGGATTATCAAAACAGCCTAGAACTATTTATCAGTGGGCTCCTCAGATGGAAGCCTACCTATTCAGATGTCAAAACACTCACACTGCAGCAGTAAAGTCACTGAATTATATAAGAAAAAGGTGTCCTGATGACAATAAAAAATTAGGATTCCAGTAAGCTTTATTCTGATTTCTCAATTCAGAAGACTGATTTGCAAAAATGATCTTTTTTTTTCCTCAAAAGAACTAGGCATATTCAGGGTTGTACTAATTTTTGTATTTCCTATCTGAGGATTCTACAAATCTATGGACACATCAGACTGATTTTCACAATTTCCAGTAAGTTGCTGGTTAAATTAGTTAAAATCTTCTTCCAGCTAGGAAAAATATATACCAGTCAAAACTAATTATGTCTGGGCCTTAATTGAAACAACACTAATTTTGCTGGTCTCCATACACTGTTCCAGAAAATATTAATTAAACACATTGAATAATGGCTGCTGTAAATTTCTGAAACCAATCATCCCTAACCAGTTCTTTCTCACTTCAGACCCAGGCACAGGCAGACGGATGGAGTGGCCCCTGAGGCCACGAGGGACCGTCCTTTTGCCACTGACCAGGAGCAGGTGAACTTTGCTCTACTCTGGGGAGCAGCGGAGCAGACACTGCACACAGGGAGCCCAGGGCCTGCAGACCTGGCGGGGGTGTCCAAGAGAAGCCTGACGACGAGCAAAACAAAGTCCTCGAGCAGCGTCCGACAGGCAGAGGTTCCCACAGCAGCCACCCTGCTTCCATCTTGGGGACTCACCCAGAGAATCCTGCAACCTGCTCTGGGACCACAGAACTCTTCCACCGTCTCTCACGCCCACCATGCGACACTCAGGCGCAGGGCCACTTCTCATCTGTATGCTAATTATTTTGCCACATGGACAAAAGTAATAATGCTTTCAGACAGGAAGCTAACAGGCCTGAAGTCGAAGATGGAAATTAATAAGTTGACACCACCGAGCGCCAGGGAGGATGGGTGTGCATGCAGCGCTCCGCCTGGCCGGCCCCTGCAGCTTCCATGAGCGGCGGCCAGCGGCCAGGCCTGCCCGGGCTTCGAGCTCCCAGCCCAGGTCCTGGCGAGACCACCGTGCTGCAGCAGCACAGCACAGGGGCGCGGATGGACGCCCTGCCTCAGGCTGCGTCCCTTAAGCAGCACAAAACACATCCGTCTCCCCGGATCCTAGCACGGGAGGGCACTTCACTGCTGATCTAGATATTTTCCAAGCTACAGCTGTGGATTAAACCAGTAATTTCTAACCTTCCTGTTTATTAAGCTTACGACGCAGTCAGACAAGATTGGGATGTATGCCGTGTGCTTCTCACATTGTACCCACAGGCCCCTGAATCTCTAGAGCAGAATGCGTATCATGTGCAGTGCTGTATTTAATGTAATAGATGAGAACTGTGAATACCAGAGTCAGGCAGTTAACCGCTATGGGCTAGGTAATATGTCTAAAAATATCTCCCCTACCGTTGATGTTATGGTAAATTCGTGCTGTGGCCAAAGAAATATCACAAAAGTCAGCTGAACCCACCGCTGCTTACCGTCAGAACACAACACAGAGAGGGGCCAGAGCCTCCCTGCCTGTCTTCAGAGAGAGAGCAGTCACCCAAGAGTTAACTCTGCTCTTAAAACCCCTCTCGGGCTGGGGTTTGCCAACCACGCTGTTTTTCTGTTTCAGCAGAGCCTCCTTGACCCTTGTCTTTTAAAACAAGAGACATGCAACTATTTTTCTAAGAAAGTTAAGGCATTAGCAACCTTATAGTATTGTCTGAAGGAAAAAAATTCATAACAAAAGTTGTATCTGAAAAGGCGAGCCCAAATCAGATTTCAGAAACGCCCAAGGAACACAGGTACGTGGATCCACAGATCCACAGACTCACAGACACATGGCCTTCATTAGCAATGCTCCAGTTCAGAACAAAGTGTGGATTTGATACGCGGCTTCTCGAGTTGAGCAGTGAATGTCTGATTCTGGCTGTTCCTACAGCACTGCACCCTCGGCACCCCTCTCCTACTGCTCCCCGCCGGGAAAGGCCACCTTAAATCACAAAGTCCCTGTTAGCACCTCCCACCCTCCCCTGGAAAGTAGCCTTGAAAACACAGCTTCCCATTCAACACCAAGGCCGGGCAGCCTGCGGGAGTCAGGGCCACAACGGCATTGTGCCGAGGAAGACAGCTGCCTGAGAAGGGGTCCATTGTTGGCTCCCAGCAGCCCAAGCCCCACGATTTCCAGAAGTGTCCTGATGGGTAAGCAAATGAGGGCTGCGCGGGGCCAGGCAGGTGGAGGGGCAACTCCTTGCTGAGGCCCTTGAGGGGACACTGGAGACCTTTCCGCAGAGCGGAGAGCTGCAGCACCCAGGCAAAGCGGCAGCCAGACGCAAGCTTCCGAATAAAAGCAAAGAGGTACCTTTCTGTAGGAGACTCGGTGGCCATGAAGCAAACGGCTGTTCCGCAGTCAACTTGTCATACACACGGCGCTGGGTCTGCCACGCAGGGACGGCCGCACGTGCAGGTCACACTTCCCTCTCCTCTGCCATCCCATTCACCCCACCCTCAGGGCTTCCACTGACCACGGCGAGAGCCCAAGACAGAACAGCCACGAGCGCTCACCCACCGCAGGCTTCCCCAGAACGCAGCGCTGCCTGTGGTTTCCGGGGCGAGACTGACACACAAGTCCTAAGTTACCCAGGTCCCAGCTCTCAGAGGTATTCCTCGGAAGACCGAGCCTCTGCCTGGTGTATGGGGACCAGGCGTGCTGGTTACTACGGAGGCGGCAAGCCAGCCCTGCCAGGAACCACTGCAGTCTGAGAGCAGGAACGGCTTTAAGGGAAGCTGCACCACTCCATCTCCCCACAGCACAATGCCGTTTCCACTTAGACTAGAACACCTTCCTCCCCTCCCAACTTTCCTGATCACCACCACGTGGGGAGGAGGGCTTTTCTAAAAAGACACACATTGTAGGCAAATTTTCCTAAGGGCCCCAAACACCAGTGTTTATCAGTAGTTCTTCACACAATAAATAAGCAATTGTGCATGCCCTCTGGTTTTCTAACACCTGGGCTATGTTTTCTGTGCCATCTCTGATTGCCTCTACAGATACCCCCAGGGCTCATTATGATGTCAAAGCTAAAAACAGTTTCATTGTAAAAGCATGTATAGAAAAATCATTGCGTGTGCTAGAACAATGCAGGTGTGAAAAAGAGAGAAGAGGGGAGGCAAAGAGACTGGCAGGGATGGAGAGAGAGAGAGGGAGGGAGAGAGAGAGAGAGAGACAGAGAGAGAGGGAGGGAGAGAGAGAGACAGAGAGAGGGAGGGAGGGAGGGAGGGAGGAACACAAAGATAGCTAAACTGAGCCATGCTGCACGGAAACACAAGCCTCCTGAGGAAGAAAGGCAGAGTTGTTAGCTTAGAATAATCTGATATCAGAAAACCAGACAACAGATGACTGTAAAAGTAGAGTGTCGGGTATTCTTCTTTGTAACAAGTTATGGCCACTGTGGGCAATAGTTCTCCTGTGTGATGTATGTCAATTTAAATGTCTTTTTTAAACAGCAGCCACACACAATTTTTGGCTATAACTGCCCTCCCCCACCCCAAAGTGCCTATATGGATTTTCTTCTTGTACTTTTTGGTATCTTTTGTCTCTAGCTGAGTTTGGAATAAACACAGATCCATGTATGCACCATGGTACTGCTGCCGCTTGATGAAGTCCAGCTTGGTGAGAATTGCGTGAATGATGCTCATGTTTTGCTCAAGCTTGCCCTCTCTCCCCCTTTCTGAGGTGTACAGTGCAGTTTGTTCAAACAACAACAAAGGTGCTCATGAAAAGGCCTGCTTAAAACACTTGAAAACAAGAAAATGCCTAATGCTATTGCAACCAAATCATGCTGTGGAGTAATCTGATTATAGGAATTCAGCAAAACTGAACGTCTTGCTTTCTGAATCTGCCATTTATGTGCTTCCTGGACAGAGCTCTGGAGAGACTTTGTGTCAAGGCACACTTTCTGGCAGAGTATCAGATGCACTGAGAACCGGTTATTGATTGGGAATGATATGCCCATCCTGAAGGGGCTGCGAGCCAAACCCAGTGTAGCCAGCATCTAAGAGCACCTCACCAGTCCTTCTTACTCCACTGTGTGAATTTTTACATGGAATATTTAAGAGTAAATAAAACTTTCACTTGCTTGCAGTTAGAAATATACCCACTAAAATGTACAGTAATAAACAAAGTCTTCAGGATATGTTTTTAAGAATCTTTCTTCATCAATTAAGATGCTTACAGGCAGAGGTGGAGATCTAGTTTATACATGTGGTACCTCAAATATTATATACTCCACAAAATTATTTTGTCCAGAAGTAATTGCCTTTTTGAAGTCATATGTGCAAAATATTTTAAAGGCAGGTGAACAAATCATGTGGTTATTAATCCAGCATTTTATGATTTTAATAAATAGGAAACTTTCAGAATCTTTGCAATGGCAAAATAACATCTTTCCCTTAATATATTGAAAGTTAGCAAAGAAAGACAGAAAACATCAGGCAGTGAAGTAACTGGGTATATTCAATAGTAAGCTATGCTTTATAAACCTTTTTAAGAGAGAATAAATGACTAAAGAAAGAAAGAAAGAAGAAAAATATAATAGGAACAATGAAAACACTACATTAAAGAAACATCATTCTGTAAAAATATCCACATGTTCCTAAAATGATGTTTACCAGATTTTATAACCCCAAATAAGCCCATGTAGTCATATTCCTTTAGAAATTGTTGTATGCACTCATACATGACACAAATTACTGGGCCTTCAATCTTGAACTTAGCTTCCAGCACAAATTTATGAAACTGGCATAAGTTATGCTGCTAGATGCAAGTTTAACTCAAGAAAAGTTGAAATTTATGTGTCATGCATACTCTCTACCTCCATGAAATAACAGATGATCCTGGCAAATCTATTTAAAAATGAAATTTTATTAATAATTAGACATATTTAGGCAAAATTTGTTGAAAAGCACTAGTGTTTACAGTTTTCCAACCTGAAGTTATAAATACAGAAGTCATTTCAATGAATTTGTATGTTTGATAATTTAGAAAATCAAACAAAATGTGTTTGTAATGGCACCTGGAAGGGCTTCCAAAAAATAAACAAACAAACAAAATCTTCAAGTATAGAGATCTTTGCTGCCACCATCTTCAAAACATCCAATTGTGGCCATCAAAGCTTCTCCCACTTCCACCTCCACGAGCACGATCATTAAGGTGATGAAAGTGAGGCATTTTCACATTGCCAGTAAACTAGTAGGAAGTCAGTCACTGCTGAATGCAATTGCTATCAGCCGCGGACAGCTCCCGGTGCTGAAAGGGAAGGCAGAGAAGCCTTGCTCACAATAGCTCACTCAACCAGCCTTTGAAAAATCACAGCACAACTGAATGAGGTGGCAAGTGCTCAGGCTCAATAGCACTGTCTACAGAACAATGGCAGCCAACTCCAAATCCCACTATAATCACATTAATGAGATTAATCAGTGAATTAGCAGCAGTCAAATGTCAGGGAAGCCAGGAAGAATCCAACCAAGATTGGTAATTAACTTTTTTGGGGGTGTAGGGGGGGGATGGAATCAACTGTACTATCTCTTTGGTTTTTCAGAAGGTGGGAATTTTTATTCACAAATCTTAAGTCCCTATGTACTAGTTGAAAGGTAGCAGCATGATTCTTCCTATGTTGTGGAGATCTAGGTATCACATTACTGATCCTTGAACTATAGCCCTCTGAGTAACACAATGTCTCTTTAAACACTCTTCATACACTATCAGGATTTTGCTTTAAACTTCATTACTGTGAATTAATATTTAAGATGATTTTATTTGTCTAGAATCAGGTTAAAATATAAAAAAATGGCTGATTATAAAAGGAAGGATTATATAACATCTGTTCCTGCTTATAGGAGGTCTATGACAGTGTGGAGAGAGTTTGAAAAAGTGAAATTGAGTAAAGTGTGTTCATACATACATATATATATATATATATCAGCAAAGGCTGTTGTCTTCAATAAAGAAAACTTATTATTAAAGTACAACTCTAAGGAGACTTTTAATTGGATTTTTCATACTCCAGCTGACACAATCATAAACATTCCTTTAGGTCAGCTAAGAAAAACAAAGTTCTTTTTGTCTGGAATATGTCACTTAGTATTTATAAGGTACAATCAATGCTTTGGATTCAAAGTTTCTGAGAGGTGAAAACTTACAGGAGTGTAACAACACTTTCATTTTTTAAATAGTCACTTTTTTATCTGTGTGGAAGACATGCTTTTATTTCTCATTGAAAAAGCTACATGACTTTATGGAATTGGACAATCAAGAAAGACCCTCTATGCCTGTTAATACTGGAAGTGGGGTGCTTTTGTCTATGACATTAATTTTGTTCAGTAAAAACAGAAAGACTTGGACAAGGAACCTCTTATATAAATATTTTTACTCTAAATTTAAAAAATAACATAAAAAGTCAATTTATTGTATAGTTTTAACGGCACTAGAATTTGCCATGGCTAAATTAATACTAAATTCCAAATCTGTGCTTTTTACTTTGTATAGCTAACTCTCATATGAATATTTACAAATATTTTATTGTCTTGTTCTGATCTATCTTAAAGCTAAAGTATGCAGTTTGAACTTCTAAGTGTCACTAAAGACAATTTATGTTTAAACAAAATTCTATTTCATTATTATAACCACAGTTTAGGTTATTAGTTATAGTTGCAGTTGAAAATCTTTCTTTGCTGTTTTTCAATTTAAACAATGTAAATCAACTTTCTTCTTATCATTAGGCAACTCTGGCAAGACATCAAGAATATTCGATATTTTCACAGTCTTTGTATAAAACGACCTTCCTATTTGTGCTGTACAGTCACCCGGTAAAGTCTCTGAGAAGTTTTGTCTCAGCATCCTCATATCATCTAAGTACTAGACATGCAGCAAGTTTTGTGTTTTTTCTTGATAAACAACAGCACGGTTAAGGCATGCAACCTAACACCCGTTTTGCTTCAAAGACAGACTTCTGTGGCTCACAAACCTCTAGCCCAGGAACCTTTCAGCTACCAGCCATGCTATAAAAATAACTTTAAAAGGAGCAAACAATAGGATTGCAGCACAACCCCTTGAACCTACAGTAAAACAGAACCTGATGACCAAGTGCAAGAATTAACCTAATGAACAACACATACCTCACAACATGAATGACCACAACCGCTCACAAGCGAAAGGCAAGCTCCCTGTTGGTAACTGTGCTGGCTCTCAGCACACAGAAAGAAAAGCAAGCCCTGCTCCACGCCAGTGAGAGGGTGAGGAGGAGGATGCACTCCACCGAGACGCAGGGAAGGCTGCTTTTTGTCTTCAGTGAATATTGATATCATTACCCAGAGTCCAGGGAATAAAAAAAAATTAAAATGCACCCACCAATAACGAGGGAAAAACCTGGGCTTCAGAAGACTGCAGGGACAAGCTCTCTCACTCTGTTTAGTGTGCAGTAGCTTAGGGAGAAAACATGTCGCCCGGGCAGGAATGACAAATGCGGCACGATAGGCTCGCGGGCCAGAGGGATCTGTTTCACTTCCACAGACAGCCCCTAATGCACGCGCTCCCACTCATCCTCTCCCAGGCTTTTTTTTTCCACATTTTTTTCACGAGCTCCAAATCCCCGGCATATGACCTTCTGTTAAATAGATAAAAAAAAAAATTGCTTATCAGTCATGCAAATGAGGCTGAATTCATTTTCCACAACAGATGGCCTCATAGATAATGATGATGGAAGAGAGAAAATTGAATGTCTCTCACAAGGTGGCCATGGCAACCGAGAGCAGAATAATATCAATAATAAGCTCACTGCATAATAAGGTTGTCAGTCCTACAAATCAAAGTCTCCTGCTAAATCAGGTACACCACCCCAGCTAGTTACCAGGTAAATAAAATAAATGTGTTTGTGTGTGTATCCACATGCACACACACATGTACATATGTGTGCATGCGTGATTTTCCAGGGACATTGAAGGCAACTAGAATTCCAAGCTGCTCAGTGGAACCGTGTGCGTGTGCGTGTGTGTGCCAGCATGGGGGGTGCTGGCTAATGAAATTACAGTGTGGATTTGTTCTTTCTCTTTCATTGTCTTGCCTGCAGTCGGCTTGTTTTCGGGAGGGTCCCTCTATCTAACGAGCCACCTTGCAATCTGGATCTGGGTGTGTAGGAGCCCTTTCTCTCGGCACCCGCTTGCCCTCTCTCTGCCTCTCTGCCGAGGGGAGCTGCAGCCAGGCAATAGCAGAGTGCCTGGGGCGGCCACCTTGGCTCCCAGGGGGACATCCTGCAAAATGAATCAGCAGCCGTCCTGAGCAGGCTGATTACAATGAAAATGGCAAGGCCCGTGTCTGGGCGGAACTGGAGCTCAGCTTTGCTGCCTGTCTGGCAAGCATGCTCAATATAGCTCTTGCTAATAATGGCTTGCTGCCTTTTGTTTTTTAAAAAGGTATCACCCCTTTTCCTCTGAATGGACGTGTGTGGTGCATGTGTGTGCACGTGTGTGTGGTGCATGTGTGTACTTGCGTGTGCATGTGTGTGTGTGCGTGCGCTCTGTGGGGGGCTGGGGCTGGGGCTGGGGATTGTTCTATTCTGATTTTCTGCTGCTCTCATGCAGATTGCCTGCCTGACAACAATGTTATTTTAAAGCTGGACTGACTTCATCTTTCTTCTGGGGAAAGCCTGAAGATGGAGGGCAAGCTACCTGAATGTCCAAGACAATAGTGGACACTCCGAGGCGATCGCCTAGGCAGCTGACCTCAAGAGGACTCCCAGGATGACTCTGCAGCACATGGGTGCGCTGCTGAGGACGGCCCAGGAGAAGCCTATTTCTGTGGTGAGCACTCCGGGCAACTCTTCCTGCATCCCAGATATTATGCAATGCAGACAATCAGAATAGGAAAACGAGAGCTCCTATCTGATGCAATAATCTTGAAAATTTGTTAAAAATAAGCCATCAGTTCTTTTTTACAAAAATCTCATCCATTCCATTAAGATTACCTTCAAATAAGCCACATGTTTCCAATTTCTGACAGATTTCTCAGATTTCTTTCAAAGCATTCTGGAAATCAGACCACTATCACCTCTCATAAAAAATTCACTTAAAAATTAAAACCCAGACTTTTTCTGAACTCATTATACTTTCCTTTCCTTATATATTTTACTGTGTTATAAATAAACTTTAAATTTTGCTGCCTGGATTCTCGATTTTTGGTTACAGGGGCGTAATTTCCACGTACAGCTCTCTCTGTAGACACTTATTTTTGTCCTGGTAATTCCTGTTTCTGAGCTGTGATTTTTTGCTCCTGCACTCTGGCCTGTTGCTGCAGTGCGAGCCAGAAATCAACAGAGCTGCCCTGATGGAGACTCCACTCAGCACGAGGCAGAGCAGCTGCAGCCCCCCCCCCCCCCGCTCACACACACACACACGCACACACACACACACACACACGAATGACGTCTGTGCAGCCTCTTCAGCTGATTGGGCGTCACATCGGATGTTCTGTGAAGCAAAGAATAGGAGTCACTTACAGTCCGTGGAGAAGCAGCAAGCGTCCGAATTCTCCTGGGTCTGAGACGCGGAGCTGAGTCTGCCAGCCACCGGCCACAGTGGTGAGGACGGCTCCTCGGGCCCTGTGGCCACCGTGGAGCAAAATTCAACCGCAAATGATGACAGAACGGAAAAAGTGGCAGAGTAGGGAAGGCTTCCCATTTTACAAAGGACAAAGGATTCCTCTAAAAAATGTGAGCACAACCAAATTTCCATGAAGGCTTGAGCATTTAGGTCATACAGGCAGCTTTGGAGCACGATTTGAGAGTTTAAATATACATTATTGTTTTAAAATACTCCCAAATCCATGTTCAGAGAGAAAGCACACATGGAAAGAATATCCCCTCCACACACAGAATCATCCCATGAGTTGATCTCAGCTGGCTTAGCCTTGATTTCAGATGTCATAGTTAAAATTTACCACCAAATGTCTTATCACATATTAACAAAGAAATAAACCTCTAAATAATATCAAGCCATAATATTGTGAAGCACAGCTTTAGGTAAGCAAGATGTTTCTGACACATAGGTGTGTGCCTATGGAAATGCAATGTGTATTAGGTACCAGGCACTGCAGAGTAGCTTGCTTGGGTGGATATGCGCGCGCACACACACACACACACACACACACATAGTGCTGTTGCAACAGCTTTGGCACTGAAGCTGCAGGTGTGTCCCAGAGAAGCGGCAGGCCACTGCGTTGGTAAGCACAGCATCTCACGTTTTAGCCTTAAGCCAAGGGATCCCTGGACTCGGCAGCAGAGAGAACGCCTCTCCCTGCAGCACACTGTCACTGCATTCCCTTCAGCCGCATCTTCCTGACAGCAACCGTCCCGTCTCATTCTGCTCCCGCGAAGCATTCGCATTCCCTGTACCCAGCCCTGCACAGCACTTAGCGATGGAGACGCCAGCCCTCAAACCGCTTCAGAGTAGGGGGAAATGAATGAATCATGAAGCCACAGGGCAGGCAGAGCAGTATACAGAGCCTGTATTTTGCAGTTACATTGTAGCACACTTGATACTTAATGATTCCTTAAAACAGGAAATCAAATACTCTGTAGAAAGGAACTAGCAAACCCTTCAGGATGTACAAGGACTGCTAGAATATTCAAAAGACCATTTAGATTTAAAAAAAAATCTCCCTATTGTTTGCAATTAAATCGTACACTGAAATGTTCTGCCTGGGAAGATCTCATGTAAATTATTGCCCATGTGCCTTGTGCTGCCCTTAGACACACCTCCACAGGTAGAGCCTCTCTGTCCTGAGGAATTCATAGCTTCTCTCTTCTAACGCTATTTAGTTATTTCTTTCTAAGAGAAAATAAACTGCATTGTGCAGCCCCTTCAAATGAGTATGTTCTCCAACCTAATCAAAGAACATAAACCCCAGATACTTTTACATCTTGAATTATACAACAGATTCTGCCCTAGGCCGTGCGTTCTGGTGGCTCCAAATCACAATCTGCTCATCGCCCATGGCATAGGAAGGGCTGGCTCTTCTGCTGTGGGTTCTCTGCATGTCTGAGTGGGCTCTGGCCTCGATGTGATGTGTGTGGACAGGGGCTTCTTCACTGCTTCACATGCCAAGTTTCACACCAAGGACACCAAGGCGAGGAGACAGGAGCTGAAGCTCCATGTAAAATGCAACAATGACTTGTTCTAGGAAGCTCATAATGTATCTGTTCTACATTTCTTCAAAACTGTTTCTGCATCAATAATGGAAGGCCATGATTTCTGAAAGGAATCTTAAACTCACTCAGGACAGTAGCAAATAGTGTAGACTCTCTGCAGTTGGGTGGAAAATGGTTAAAATCTGGAATCTAGACATTATTATGTTGGAGTGTACCCTATGTAAACTCATGTACTAATCTATCCCCCTACACTCCATGGTTACCATAAAAACTTTCAATGTTAGACATATGTGAAGAAGGGATAGTTTAGATAGATAGATAGATAGATAGATAGATAGATATAGTATGTGTGTGTGTCTGCTTGTGTGTGTGCGTGAAACACTTAAGGATGGGAAACCCATTTTCACTGCAGGGAACTACCCTCAACTCATCAAAACATCTGTAGGTGCTTCACAGCAATTGGTTAAGAAAAGGGGTAGGTGACTAACTTGCAAAACGAGTAGATTAATGAGTGAGGAGGAAACTTGAGGGACACACCCCAAGGCAGAGTTGATGTGTCAGACACAGAAAGACCTTGGCTGTGTGACCTCAGTGGCTGGCTGGGTCAGGAAGTGGAGATCAAGACCCTCCCGGAGCACACGCATTGCTTCTGGGTCTGTTGGGGACAGACTCTTCCATCTCATGTTAACCAATATTGGGGGATCCAGAGCAGGGGAGGATTAAGCAACACGTTCAGATACCCTCACTTAGTTTTATAGAACTGGTCAAGTTTTGGCAAAATACATAGATATAAATTACTCTGAATACAATTCTGAGATCTAAGTTAGCATAGAGAATTTAAGGTGTAAGCGATTATAAATGGCAAACAAAAGTACTACAGAAGTGTTTTCACACTCTAAGGTCTATAATTTTAAGAACATTGCCAAAATTTAATAAAAATACGTACTTTCCAATTCACCCTTGGCAGTCCAATAAATTCAGATACCGCATCTTCCAACAAGTCTTTCTAAACTATCTCCACACCTCTGATCATCAGCCTCCTCACTATTTTGCATTTGTGGTCTTCATATCACATTTTCTCTCTTTATGCCATTGGTTTAACATCTCTAAAAGAATTCAAGTCACTTGAAGAAAAGGATGCGTGCTTCTCATCCAGGATTCATAGGGTTAAGGCTCGTACCCACCAGGGCTTCCTAAGGATGATCTGGGGAACCTTCCATCAGCAAATGGTGTTGTCACGAAAGTCAAGATGAAGACTCAGAGGAAGAACAGCAGAGAAACACTGTAGATCTGTTACCTCATTTGTACTGAAGACAGTAACAGCTGTCACGCATATCTAGAAGAGTTTTACTGCTGAAAACAATTAGAAGCAAAGATGCAAACACAGGTGAAGAATAGGAGAAAGACACACACCCTTCATTCACTTTGCAGTGAATAGTCCCGGATCTACCTCCCTCCTACACGGGAAGCTCCCATCCCGGGAACTTTTTGCCCTCACCACAGCTGGTGGATGACTGCATACCTGTGTCCCAGCTTCCCTTTCAGAGAGGACATGAATTAGCACTCAGTCCACTGCCACGCCATGCTCACCTGGGGTTTTGAATCACAAGCAGGATACCAAAGCTCTGCTCTTTTTTTTTTTTTTTTTTTTGACAGGCAGAGTGGACAGTGAGAGAGAGAGACAGAGAGAAAGGTCTTCCTTTGCCGTTGGTTCACCCTCCAATGGCCGCCGCGGCCGGCGCGCTGCGGCCGGCGCACCGCGCTGATCCGATGGCAGGAGCCAGGAGCCAGGTGCTTTTCCTGGTCTCCCATGGGGTGCAGGGCCCAAGCACCTGGGCCATCCTCCACTGCACTCCCTGGCCACAGCAGAGGGCTGGCCTGGAAGAGGGGCAACCGGGACAGAATCCGGCGCCCCAACCGGGACTAGAACCCGGTGTGCCGGCGCTGCTAGGCGGAGGATTAGCCTAGTGAGCCGCGGCGCCGGCCCGCAAAGCTCTGCTCTTAAAGCTTCCCCCATCGTAGGGGTGGCAGCATGGCAGAGGCCATGGCTAGTGCCCATGGGGGTGGCAGCAGTGTCCCGGGAGACCCCCTACTTCAAGCTTTCAGGCACCCTCCCTGGTGAGCTGGTCACCCCATGGCTCTGCCTTTCCTAAGTCAGCCAGCATGTGCACTCCTCTCTGAGGGTAGTTGGCGTCCTCTGAATGACACAAATCAACCTCTAAGACGGGGTGGGGGGAGAGGACATGTGGTGACATGGGAGTTTGCCAGCTTATGGTACCTACTGGCAACCCCACCAGCTGTAGCCACCTGAGACAGACAGGTCTTCCACAAAGACATTACTTGGCTTATGAACTGAAGGAACTTGGTAACTGCCAGAGGGGTCCGACTTAGCCCCACCTTCAGGACCCCACAGCACTTCATCCAGTTGGCAGGGAGTCGGCTACAGGCTTAGGGCACCCACAATGGGGGTCAGCTTTGAAGAAAGGGCTGGCAGTCACCTCCTGACAACCGAGCATCTCAGAGCATCTGACAGGCCTACAGCTGCCTGTCACAACGGAATGCACGGGGGCATCATTGGATATTAGGAACCCGGACTATCGCGTGGTGCACTCAGGAAGACAACACCTGCGGGGAGGGAGGCTGGGGGCCTGTGCTCAGCGTGGCCGGAACCCTCCCACCTTTGCCGCAGGTTCCTCAGCTACCTGCAGAATTCCCGCCTTAGATTCCTACTAAGTGGACTACCCTGAGCACATCTGTGAACAGTGGTGACGGGTGGCAGCTCCTGTCTCCTCTCATTAACTCATCTGGGACAGAGGACTCGGTCCTTCCTGGAGAATGGAGGTGGATTTCGGTGAGTGTGAGGGATGCTGTTCCACAGGTGGTATTTTTATGACAAGCAAATCGACAGAGCTCCTGGCACAAGAAAATCGATTTTGTAGCCATAAAAGGACAAGGCAAAGGGTGTTTTTCCTGCAATGCAGGGGACAAGAACCTTCCCTGCCTTAATTCCCATTCACTTAATTCTTTATAGAGAAGCTGATGGCCTCTGAGGCCTTCCCCCCACGGCCACAACAGTGCTAAAAGGACCTCCAGGGAAGGGGCTGCTATGCCCAATAGATTTCTTGGCAAGATTCAGGCAGGGGGTGAGCTCTGTAAGAATACAGGCATCTGCTGCCTCACGAAGCCGCCAGCATCAGCTTGTGTGGGGGACATCCAGGTGTGGCTACCCACTGCAGCAGAGGCTGTTTTCTCTGAGAGCCCTGCCTTCCTTTTCTTCCTGGGCCCCTGGGTCAGCACGGGAGCTGCCAGAGGAGAAGAGGGACAAACACGAAGGCCCACAGGGGACGCCTGGGGCATTGTTCACCAGATCCAGGTCCAGTCACAGCAACTACAGCGCTGGCTTGTCCAGATGGAGTGCTCAGGACTCAGTCTCTCCAGGAAGATACTTGGTACCCCCGTAAGGTGAACAACTCTACTTAGCAGGGATGCGGCAGGAGGCCAGGAGGACAGAGGAAGGCACAGAGATGTCATAATCACCAGGTCTGAGCTTGTGGGCAAACGGGAAGTAGCTATTAGTAATATTTCCATTCCATGCTGTGTGACGTACATATTTGTATAATCTAGTTAATTTTCTGCTTTCATCTCTTCACTGTGATTTCACAGAGCCAGACGTGGGTTACATCAGAATAGTGCAGGAGGAGGACATAGCCCGGAAACCCTTGACTGAGGCCAGGCCCAGGACATCAGGGTCATTTCTTGTGACAGTGGGGCTGGATTTTTTTCACCCAGAAACAACTGTCCCAAGATCCACAGAGATACTGATATTGGGCAGCACAGGATGGGCATCCTGGTCACATGCAGGCTCCGAACCTTCCAGGAGAATTTCTCGCCCTGTAGTCGGGGTGGGTGGGAAAGGGCTCCTGGTGGACCTGTTCCCCATGGATACAGCGTCAGCACAGCCTCACAGTCCACTCTTTAGTCTCCACTCCCAGGCAGTCTGTGAAACTCAATGTCATGTTAATAAATTTCCTTTTCTGCTAAAGAGACCCTTACTCTCCTTTGCTATGACTATGGTTCAGCAAGCAAGTGCATAACACACACACACACACACACACAAACACAGACAAGCCCTGCCTCCTCCATGGCAAGAGCCCACACTCAGGTTCCAAGCCAGGATCTGTCTCTCACTGTGACTCTCGCCATCACTCCCCCAGAATCCTGGCCTGCGGGAGGCACCCTGCTCATTAGAAGCTCAGGGCCTTTGACTGGGGGTGACCTCTACACACAAAGCCCTGGCATTCCAACTCTGAAGAGCCAAGTTCCTCTTCCAGGTGTGTGTGCAAACCGGCCCTGGATGAGGGACGCCGCGGTCAGAACCATGCCAGAGCTGAAACAAAGCAAGTGGTGGATGGAAAGCCCTCCTGCTTCCTTACCAGCCCCTGGTGGTGTCAAGGAGAACAACACATCGTGTTCCTGTGGTCTTATTAACTTGTAACACAGGCATTTCCTGCTGAATCTTCCAATACAACCCGCGGCAGGGGTTCTGTGTCCCAGTGGGGGACCGGAAATGGCTTTGCCTCTGATCCAGTCTCATTCTTGAGATGCCAGAACTTCTCAGCAATCCAGTGCTCTTAGCCAGGCAGGGGCCCAGGCCCACTGCCCCCACAAGAGTCAGCATCCCCACTTTGACCTGGAAACACGGGGCACACCAGTACTTCCCCAAGAAGCATCATGGAGTCACACCCTGGAAGGTAACTGAAGGTTCCCATGGGTACACATGAAGCAAAACAGAAACTGGGGAAATCAGTTCAATCATATAAGAGAGTAGGTCAAAAATTGTAGAAAGTGCAATGGACAGATTATTTTGGTATAGAAATTTTTAGAAATCCATTCAAAATCCATTCACAGCTTTTTAATAATGTGCATTTTCCATGAACTTTGTTAAGATACCATGCTTTTACTGAATCTAATACTTCTAGATTGTTATTATTTCAAAATATAATCAATACACAATTTATTAAAGAAATACTTCAGTTAATTAATTAATCTGAGAGACACAGAGACAGGGACAGGGAGAAGGAGAGAGAGTTCTTTCATCAGCTGGTTTACTCCTCAAATGCCAGGTTGAGGCCAGTAGCCCAGAACTCAGTCTAGGTCTCTGCCATGGGTGGCGGGGAGCAATATTTGAGCCATCACTGCTGCATCCCAGGACGTGCACTAAGAGCAGGAATCTGGAATCAGGAATGGAGCGGAGACTCTGACCCAGGCATTCTGACATGGGAGGCAGGTGTCCCACGGTGCCTCGGCACCCACCCCCGTTCTGCAGCTTTGGGAACTTATAGGTCAAGACTTTTTGTTCTGTGCCCCTTCCAGTGCTCCTTGTCTTTCTTCTGGTTTCCCTGAGGCTGACCTGTTCCTGCCCTGCGGTCTTCCTGGGCTGTCTGTCCTCACCCACTGTGTTTCTGTGGAGCTTGTTCCAATACCCACTCCCTCAGCCTCCTGGAAGTCCACTATGGGCCACAGCCATGATGCTGGCTTCCAAAGTTTTCACCAGGGACATTTCAGAGGCCGCTCCCAGCACTGTTCTGTGACAGATGACAAACTCCAGGCCAGCGCCGCTCTGTGGTGCTGCTTCGGTACTATTTCTGCGTGCTCGCACTCGAGAGCTATGGGGGTCTCCTTGAACTCTCAGACCACCTGAAGGTGGGCTAACACCACAGTATTTGGGGCGAGCCATGGGCAGTGGGGATGGAATCCCCACTACCTACACTTATTAAGTAGCTAATTTAGACAATCGACTTCAAAGGATTGAAACCTCATTTCCCAAATGCAGTTACTTTCCAAATAGAAATAAAAACAAAAGCAGATGTTAGAATTATAGGAAATTAGATGTGAAAAAGCTACCTTAGAGGTGATCAACTTTATTATTAAGGAAACTAAAGCCAAGGGAGGC